GAGTCATAGTTTACTCTCACTTGTAGATATTCCTGTTGAAAAACCAATTGATTTGTGTCAGATGTTTTAAATTGATTAAGAGTAAGATCTACTTCGGGCCGGGGACTATTTGCCAAGGAGGGGAAGACAAAGGCCGATAAGGAGAAATAAGGTCTAAATTAATATTAGCGGCTTTAATGTGGGGTTTAATCCGAATTCCCAGTGGTGGAACCAGCTTAGATTTACTTTGAAATACCTCTTCATAAGCAGGTTTAAAAACACAGGTGTGGGCAGGGTTTAATGGGTTAGAGTGCAATTTTGTAACATAGTGAAGGGATAACTTGATACGACGGTGCTACAAAGAAGGTTCATCAGCTTGTACATGTAGCCTATCAAGTGGAGACGTTTCTAAATGCGCCACGACACAGCCTTAGTCCCTGATGATGTATGGAATCTCATTTCTCTAAATTACTTCTGCAGGCTCCACCATAAACAATGGAACCATAATTCAATTTAGACCGGATCAGGGATCTATACAAGTGAAGGGGGGTTTTCTTATCTCCACCCCACTTTGAATTTGCAACTACTTTCATCAAGTCTAGAGCCTTCAGACATTTAGTCTTAAGATATTTGATATGTGGCTGAAACGTCAAATGCCGATCAAAAATGAGACCCAGGAACATGGCTTCCTCTACAACTTTGATAGGATTGCTGTCTCAAAATAGTTCGGGGTCTTTATGATACTTGTTGATTGGTTGGTTTGTTTGTTTTTGTTTAACGTCGCTCTCAGCAATAGTACAGCTATATGACCACAGTCTGTAAATAATCGAGTCTGGACCAGAAAATCCACTGATTGATATCATGAGCATCGATCCACAGAATTAGGATCGATGTGATGGTACTTGTTCTTCCTGCTAAAATTAATACAGTTGGTCTTGGCTTTTGAAAATTTAAAGCCATTTTCGTGTGACCATTTCTGAATTTCATTAAGACATAACTGTAGTTGTCTTTCTATAGCATGCATATTTTTGTCACAACATGAAATATTGAAAAATTGAAGTCATCCAGAAAAAGTGAGTCATTTAAAATTTTGGAAACGCTATTGATCTTTATAAAAATTGAAGTCATCCAGAAAAAGTGAGTCATTTAAAATTTTGGAAACGCTATTGATCTTTATATGCTAAATAAAGTGACAGACAAAATACTGCCCTGTGGGACACCCTGATCCTGATCATAATGGTCAGACAGGGTATGACCCACACGGACTTGAAACTGTCTGCCTGTTAAAAACTTGGATACAAACTGAGGTAAACGACCTCTCAATCCAAAGTCATGTAAATCTTTAAGAATTCTATGCTTCCACGTTGTATCGTATGCTTGTGAAAAGAACTAAAAAGTTGGAAACAGCATGTTGTTTGTTGACAATGGCATTTTTGTCATACGATTCTAAACGTACCAGATGATCAATGGTACTTCTGGTTTTATGGAAACCACATTGAATATTTGTAATGAGGTTGTTGGTTTCCAGGTACCATATTAAACGATTATTTACAATCCATTCCATAGTTTTACAAACACAGCTAGTTAATGATATTAGTCTATACTTTGATGGATCAGAATAATCCCGTCCAGGTTTAGGTATGGGGATTACAGTGGCATTATGCCATGATGGAGGAAAGTTCCCCGAAGTCCAAGTCTGATAAAAAAAAGTCTAAAAGTGTCTCAAGACATGTCTAAGGCAAATGCTTCAGGAGCTGATAGTGTATATTGTCATCACATGTCGCAGTATCATGAGCTTGGTCAAGGGCAGTATGTAGCTCATGGAGTGAAAACACTTCAATAAAATCTTCACCAGTATCTGAGGTAAAATTAATACTTTTCTTTTCCTCTTGTTTCTGGTATTTTAGTTGTTAGTTTCTGATCACCATCTTTGAGATGGTGAATCCTAGATTTGGAACATGTTCCTTTAATCTTCTGAATCATATTCCATACCTTGGACATACGTGTCTGGGAATTGATCCTTGAGACATAATTTCTCCATGACACACGTTAATTCTATTTAAAAGTATGTTTTGCTTTAGCATTTGTAATTTTACCATGAAATTATGAACAGTAGGGTTTCGGCAAAGATATTTTTCAGCCTTTTCCCTAATCTTTCTAGCTTGTTTGCATGTATTATCAAACAATGGTTTTTGTATGTGTGGGTTTGCAGAGGACTTTGGTATCGTTTCATCAGCAATTTCATTCAGTTGTTCCGAGAACAACTTAATATGGCCAGAAGCATTCTTGAGAATGTTACGTGTTAACAGTACAGAGGTTTTGAGGTTTTGAAACAAAGACCAGTTGGCCTTATTAAAATTCCACCGTGATGAGGGCGGAACGTCAGATGGGTTCTTAGTTTTCAGGAAATGGGAAATGGTCGCTTCCACACAAATCATCATGAACCGACCAAGTAAATTCACTTAACAAGTAAGAATCTGATAGCAAGAGATCTAACGCAGAATACGTCCTAGTAGCAGGATGTATATATGTATATTAACCATTATTAAAAAAACATGAGTTATTATCGGAAATAAATTCCTCAAGGAGCTTCCCTTTAGAAGATTGTATATCAGAACGCTGAAGAGTAGAGGTGGGAGGAATATATAGAGAGCACACAGTAAATGATATGTGAGTCGTACTGCAATAGCTTCGAGATTGGTATCAATGGACACAGGACTGTGAATCACACCCTGTCGCACCAGGATGGAAGATGCTCCAGTGGCTTTAACACCCTGAGGAGAAAATGAATGATATGAACTGTACTGATGGAAGTCAAATATATTTGATTGTTTGTGATATGTCTCCTGAAGACAAATTGCTGATGGTTTAAAATATTGTACCAATAATTGAATTTAAGTAAGATTGGTCCTCAGACCTCTGCATTTCCACTGAATTAGTGAGTCTCCATTATATATGTTAGGAGGTGGAAGTACAGTGATAAAGTGTAAAACAATGCAACAATTTTTATCCACATTTTACACTATTTTATAAAACAACTTTTCTAAAACAAATTAAACTAACCTGAAGTGTGGTTTTCACAAACCCAGCAAGAAAAGAATACGTGTTCCCACTCCTGATGTCCCCAGCCAAGTAATCATGCATGTAGCATGCTCGCAGCACGAAAAGCATGTGCATTGCCAAACCAATCAAACTGGTTCTACTTGGTTTACCGAAACTTGTAGCCAATCAAATATGAGGACACACTTCTTGTTTAGAAATGACACCTTACAATAACTATGAGGCTCTCTTTGGACTGGGGGCCCTTATTTGGGTTGTGGGGAATATTCATTGTTCTTGGAAATACTAAGTTAATCATGTTGAACTTAAAATCCACCACCAAATAACTTCAAATAACATTATTCTCAACCCTTCTACACATGTCTTAAGAACGTCTCCAATTGAGAGAAATGAGATTCCATACATCATCAGGGACTAAGGCTGTGTCGTGGCGCATTTAGAACGTCTCCACTTGATAGCCTGCATGTAGAAGCTGATGAACCTTCTTTGCAGCACCGTCGTATCAAGTTATTCCTTCACTATGTTACTAAATTACATTTTAACCCATTAAACCTTGCCTACACCTGTATTTTCAAACCTGAGTTGTTTCAAAGTAAATTTAAGCTGGTTCCATCACTTGGAATTCGGATTGAACCCCACATTAAAGCTGATAATATTAATTTAGATCTTATTACTCCTTATCGGCTTTTGTCTTCTCCCCCTTGGCAAAAAGTCTGGTCGGAAGTAGATCTTACTCTTACTCAATTAAAATTTCAAAATCTGACACAAATCAATTGGTTTTTCGCCAGGAATATCTATGTCTGGCTTTAGTCACTGGTGTTATAAAGCTCGTATTTTAATAGTATAAAATGTAAAGTTGATGTATATATGTTGGTTAGAAGTTTTAGTGTTTGAATTGTTTAGTTTGTATCAATCATCTAATCATGCTAATGTTTTACTGTCCTTTTAGCTTTCAGTTTGTTCTCGTCACTATATGGCTGAGATACTCTCGATGTGACGTTAAATATTAATTCACTCACTGATAATTTGTGTTCGCGATAACTGTTAAGGTGATAACTGATAACTGATAACGTATTAAAACATCCTATAATAATGTCAAATGTCTATTTGTGCTGAATAGAGTGTATAGAGTTCACATCTGACCAATGATTGTAACTCGACTAGTATTGTCCCAGCTACAAATTTGCAGGTTACAATAATCATATCTCTTCCATCGCTTTGTGAGACGAGACCCTGACCATTGTATTGTGTGATTTTACTCTGGAGAGATTTACTCTGTTATTCTAGGATCGTGCGTGTTTGCGTTTGTCAATGAATTGCTGGTTTGTGGTGTTCTTGCTGAAATGACCGACTCCGTGGTCTTGTGGTAGAGCGTCCTCCCGGAGAGCGGAAGGACCGGGGTTCTATCCCCGGCCGCGTCATACCAAAAGACGTTTAAAAAATGGTACTTGTTGCTAGGCAATAGTAGGCATAGAGGGCCTACAACTGGTCGGCTCGGAGTCAGTATACTGTGTCTGCGTGGGGTATTCTTGTTAAACTGCGGCATGGTATCTAAGTGAGCTAGCACTATAAATCGGCATCAGTCCGGAGGAGTACAAGCAGCCACACTGCCACACGCTCATGCACGTCGCTATTTAAGTGCAATAATCTTGGACGCGACGTTAAACCCTATTTCACCTCACCTCACATCTTGCTGAAATAGTGATGTCGTATCTCGTCAATGCAAGGATCGTTGCTAGTCACACAAAAAATTAACACCCAACTCATTTCACAGCATTAGGTTTAATCACACGGATATATACAAACATAGAAGGTTTAATTTACAAATGATTTTGGAACAGTGAACACTAACAGTCTTTCGGTGCACTGCATTACGAAAATGGATAGCGTACCATTTTCATCAAAATATTCCCGTTCAATCAGGTATATAATGTCCAGGATCTTGAGAATATTTATCGATGTTAAAGTTTCAAGTTTTTAAACAATCTTTGGAAGAATGATTTTTTACGCTTCTGTTTTCTTTCTTGCGTGTTTGCCACAAAGGAAGTACCAAACCACCTTTCCATAATGTCTCCAAATAGTTTGCTGTTGTGCTTCTGGTTACCTTCAAATAGTTCCCTATAGTTCATCATCCAGTCCCAGACCACCGTCGAAGCTATCTTGGACTCCACCACCAGTTCCTTAAAGTCAACTCTATGTCCGACCACAAACACTGGCAAATCTGTTTCCATGCCTTTCTCTTTGAGGATCACATCCTTGATGAGAGGCAATACCTCAAAAGACTTCTTTTCCTCTACTAAGTGCATCAGAATGAAGGCGTCACAGGCCCGTATCTGTCTTTTCAAAGCTTTGTCAGAAACAGTGTCTGGTGATACGTCAACGATATGAAACGTTACCTCACAGTCTTGTATGGTCCATTTATGTCCGTGTTCAAAGGAAGTCGTTTTTTCACCGAGATCCCCTCTCATCTCAATGAAGTCCTCGACGACAGCTCGTTTGCCCACACCAGGCACTCCAACAACCATGACGCGCAGGACTGATTTTCTCTCGGCCGTAGTCATCTTTCAGCTTCCTGTTGAGTGGAGCTCTCAGCGTGCAGCTGTCTTTTATAGCGAATGCTATACTCAGTCATGGCTATTTGGGCAACATATGTGTGAACAACAGAACTGCTACATTATACGAAATTGATAGATTCTGTCTTCTCTTTGGATTCCACATTGTCTACCTGAATCAATAAGGAGATCATGAGAGCTGCACCTGAATCAATAAGGAGATCATGAGAGCTGCACCTGAATCAATAAGGAGATCATGAGAGCTGCACCTGAATCAATAAAATCAATAAGGAGATCATGAGAGCTGCACCTGAATCAATAAGGAGATCATGAGAGCTGCACCTGCATCAATAAGGAGATCATGAGAGCTGCACCTGAATCAATAAGGAGATCATAAGAGCTGCACCTCAATCAATAAGGAGATCATGAGAGCTGCACCTGAATCAATAAGGAGATCATGAGAGCTGCTCCTGAATCTCTAAGGAGATCATGAGAGCTGCACCTGAATCAATAAGGAGATCATGAGAGCTGCACCTGAATCAATAAGGAGATCATAAGAGCTGCACCAAAATCAATAAGGAGATCATGAGAGCTGCACCTGAATCAATAAGGAGATCATGAGAGCTGCACCTGAATCAATAAGGAGATCATGAGAGCTGCACCTGAATCAATAAGGAGATCATAAGAGCTGCACCAAAATCAATAAGGAGATCATGAGAGCTGCACCTGAATCAATAAGGAGATCATGAGAGCTGCACCTGAATCAATAAGGAGATCATGAGAGATGCATCTTAATCAGACTTTCAAGTTTTATCTCGTTAATTAATGATCGGTCTATAAAAGGTTTCGGTTGTATTTTATAGATTTCAAACTTTAGTTAACTGAGCTGTGCATGCTCATACACGTGAGCAGAAAGGGAATTCCCTCGACTGTAATAATGGGATTCCCCAGCATTCCGTTGCAAGAAAAGTCGTTCATTTCGGCGGGCGTGGCTTACTTTTTTACATTCATTTGGAAAAGAAGGCAAAAACTCGTGACCAATTCAGCTAATCGGAAAGCAGGAATTACGACGACACAACGAAAATTTAATTATCACTATTTGATAGTGATTCATAAACAAATGCCAATGATATAGTTGGAATCGTACAATCGACACTTGTTTTGGCAGATATTTATTGTGAATACGGAAAGGTTTTGTCGCTTTTATTGAACAGTATTTCAGTTATGTCATATTAGGCAGCTTCATGTTCGTGGAAAGAGCAATTTGTTGCAGCTCTGAAACATTTGTCACGATCCAATGATCTTAATTAGGATGATTCTTGGATTGGATCCGATTCCATTGGTCAAAATAGTGACGAAAATTATACGAATTGATTACTGAAAATCAGTGATGATTCCAGATGTTGGCAGATGTACTCTCCTGCTGGTAGAACCCACCGGAGTTTCTACAGTTTTGTGTTAAAGTGTTAGTTACCGATAAACATAGCCCAGGTACGAAATACATCTCACACATTATATTCAGGGACAGACTCCCCGGGATATCACGCCCTTGGTCAAGGTAAGTTATTTTCAACTTTCATACAAAGGTGTTGTCTTAAAAAGCATTTGAAATACCAAGTTTTAAATATATGATTTGTTATGCAATTAGGTAACGTTATTTTGTTCAGAGGGGGCACTCGTGAAGAGCAACCTCCTCGTGGCGAGTGCTGGGTAACGCTAATCGCTCTTCCCCCGTGTGGAACCGGGGCAGAATAATTCCACAGCACCCCATTGCTGGTCGTAAGAGGCGACCAAAGTGGGCAGCCCGTTTGCCGTGGGTTGCGCCCCTGTGTCGGTGGAGGACGGGAGTCTGGTGGTTGAGGGCACTGGAGCCAGGAACAGTGTTCCTTTTGCCCAACACACCACTTTGACCCTTACTTCACCTAGACGGGTGGTAGAATGGGCCCGGTTCTATCAATCGGCTGGTCACGCCATGCCCTGTGCATGGATAAGTTGCACTTCAAATTCATTGTTATAACTGTATCTTCAACATGTAATATTATAATAAAAGTCATGTTGTAAATAACTTTGCCTAGAGTCCTATGCCAGAAGGCGGTGGCTCATGGGCCAATCTGGCATTATTGACCTCCAGGTTCTATTGGTCTTCAGGTAACTGTCTTGGGCGGAACAAGCCTGACTTTTACCCTGTTTGACAATTTTAGCTACCTGTGCCCTTTTTGCTGGAGTATAGCACCCTTGTAACCCTGGTGTTTGTAGTCGGTTACCACTACAACACTGTCCTTGTTGACACTCCATGGCGGGTGGAGAGCAGGGGTGTCGAATATCTTTCTTTCATCATGGCTACCCCCATGTCCACTGGTTCTCGATCAAAAACAAAAAGACGTCATATTGACACAAATAATGCAACTTCTTCTGATGAAGAGTCTGCACATATTGTTGATTCTTGGCCCCGTTTTCTTGTTGTAGAAGGAGTTGATGGTGTACCCCTCAAAATCAACCCCTTTGTAGTTTCCAAATCCATAGAAGGTATCTGTGGAAATGTGACCAATGTTACTCGTCTCCGTTCCGGCTCCTTGCTTGTGGAATGTACACGGAGACAACAGTCTCTAAATCTACTTCAAGCTCATCACTTTGCATATACTGAGATTGTTGTCTCAGTGCACAAGACTCTGAATTCATGTCGAGGTATTGTACGTGATCGTGCAAAATGCCTTTCCGACATGTCTGAGGAGGAGATTGCAACAGAACTGAAAAATCAGGGTGTGACTTCTGTGAAGAGATTCACAAGGAAAGATGGTGACTCCTTCGTAAAAACAAATACATATCTTTTCACGTTTGCTCTCGCAAAGCTTCCATCATCTATCAAAGCAGGGTATTTCAACATCGGGGTGGATGTATATATACCAAATCCACTCCGGTGTTTCAAATGCCAACAATTTGGACATGGTGCTAAATCTTGTCGCAACTCACCTGTTTGCTCCCGCTGCAGCCAGTCTCATGACAGCACAGACTGCACAGATGCCATCAAATGTGCAAATTGCAACGGTGCTCACATGTCCTCATTTAAATCGTGCCCCTGTTATGTGAGACAAACAAAATTCTAAAAATCAAATACAATAATGACATTTCCTTCCCAGATGCTAAAAAGCTTTTAGACCAAGAGTCACCTACTTTCCTCTTCTAGGCTGAATTACTCTGCTGCAGTCTCCTCGTCTCCACTCAAAGTTGATGCTTCATGCCAAACGGCTATTAACTGGGTCTCAGACGAACAGACCATTTTATTTCCAGTTAATGCTGACAAGACCACTGTTTCTTCGTCAACAGCTTCACAAACTACAGAACCTCGGCCACGATCTGCACCTGAACCTGAACCTGAACCTGAAACTATCACTGAAATGCTGCATAATGTAAGCATGACAAGAAAAGGAAAAAAACAACAAAAGAAAAAAGAATCAAAGGCCCTGAAACACAGCGAGGTGCCTTTACCATTGACAGTCCCTCTGGAGGTTCATAACCCCTTTGAACCTCTAGATATGGAAGTCACCCCATCTCCACCAATTCAACGGAGAGGGTCTTCCTCCCGCTCAAGATCTCCAGTTGAACCCCCATGAGTTGCTCTGCTACCCTCATTCAATGGAATTGTCGAGGACTTCGGAATAATTTTAATGATCTTCAGCTACTAATACAAGATTTGAAACCATCAACTATTTGTTTACAGGAAACTTTCCTCAAAACCTCCGATAAGTTCGATTTACGACAGTACGACTCCTACCATTGCTTTTCCCCTCCGGGGGATAAGGCAACTGGAGGATCGTCTGTTATAGTGAGGCAGGGCGTCATTCACAGTCCTGTTCCTCTCAAAACCCCTCTTCAGGCTTTTGCGGTACGTGTAACATTAAATATTGTTTTTACATTATGTTCATTGTATGTACCACCGTCATACTCTCTTCGACTGTCTGATATTCAAGCACTATATGACCAACTCCCTAAGCCATGTGTTATCATGGGAGATTTGAATGGCCATAACCCTCTTTGGGGTAGTAGTGACACTAATAATAAAGGAAAAGTACTTGAGGATTTTTTCATAAATAACGATTTGTGCATTTTTAATGATGATACTCACACATATCTACATCCTGCAACTGGCACTTACTCTTGTCTAGACTTGTCTGTTGTAGATTCTAATTTACTTCAGGAATTTGAATGGTCAGTCCACGATGACCTCTGTGGAAGTGACCATTTTCCTACCATTTTAAAATCTGTGACACCATTTGATGTTCCTCCATCATCAAGATGGAATTTTACTAAGGCAAACTGGGCTTTATACGAAATTCTTTGCACTAATCAACTAAAACCTGTTGGTTTTCTTGATGTTACCGATCCTATTAAACTTTTTTCCGATGAACTTTATAAAATAGCTGATGAATGTATTCCGAAGTCCTCCTCAAATCCTCACATACGTAAACCATGGTTCAGCAATGATTGCAAGCTAGCTAGGAAGGCAAGGAAAAAAGCTGAACACTATTTCCGTCGCCATCCTATGGTCCACAATTTAAATAAATTTAAAATATTAAACGCCAAAGCTAGGCGTACATTTAAACAAAACAAGCGTCAATCTTGGCACCATTATGTCTCCAAGATAAATTCACGTACGCCAATATCTAAGGTATGGAACATGATCCAGAAGATTAAAGGAAAGGGTTCTAAATCTAGTATCCATCACCTTAAAAATGGGAATGAATTACTAACCGATACTTCTGATATTGCTAATAAAATTGGTGAAACTCTGGCTCAACACTCTTCATCCTCAAACTATGTCCCTAAATTCCAAAAATTTCAAAAGCAGCAAGAAAAGAAACCTGTAAATTTTAGTTCCGATAATGGAGAAGATTACAATGAAACCTTTTCCATTCATGAGCTCAATACTGCCCTTGGGCAAGCTCATGATACTGCTACAGGGTCTGATAATATACATTATCAACTCTTAAAACATTTACCGCAATCATGTT